GCAGCGGCACACAGATCGACATTCCCAATGTAATAAGGACAGTGTTGCCATCTCGTCTGATCAAGCAATATAATCAATATTGCAGTGAAGTGAATTACGCTCCACTCTCGAGCCGTACGCTGTTTAGAATTTTGTCTGAGGCATGTGTGGCGTCAGTTCGAAAGAGTTTACAGGGGCTAGACAGCTACGCAGCAGAAGGCGGGCGCGGATTTGATGATTTATTATCGCTCCTTGACACCCTGGTGAAATATGGGGCTAATGAGGCTGTAATTGCAGAACTCAAGGACAACTTTAGATACCTAAAACAGTACATCAAAAGTGATTACAAGGTAAATGATTAGTGCCTATATAGAGTCTGCACATGCATTTTCATCGTGCGAAGGTGTAACAGCATGATTGTCTCGTTCACAGATCCACTGCTCCTTGGCTAGTACTATTCCTGACCACTGCAGAGTATTTGCACTCAGTGATGCTAAAAGGGAGAGCTATCGCCACCACTGTGATCACCAAAATAATCAACGTTGTGAGAGCTGCGAGACCTTGAAGACTGTATGTAGCCAATAATAAGTAAACCCAGCCTAGGGCAAGATAATTCTATCTAATTATATCTTATATCTCTTTTAGTCTTTAGACTCAGTTTTGTCCTTTATCCAGTCAACCAACCTACCGCAGGACCTTCAGGATGACCTCCTATTTAATGCAAGAACCGCAGGTGACGGAGTACATTCCTGGAAGGCTCACCAGCTGCGCATGGTTCACCAGGATACAGCCAGAACAGATATCATTGATAGTCTTCAGGAGGACTCGGTGCTGATCACACAGGATTTCGCCATGAAGTTCTTACCCACCCAGTACAGGGAAACGCAGGTTGATTTATTTGGTAAGAGAGGTATCTCTTGGCACTTGACAGTTTGTCAGAGCAAACAGCGAGGGGAGCTGGTCGCGCAGACGTTTGTGCACATAATTGAGTCGGGTCTACAGGACAGCCACACAGTAGTAACCGTGATGGAGCATGTACTGGAAACCTTGAAGCAGGAACACTCCCAGTTAACCAGAGCTGTCTACCGCCAAGACAACGCAGGCTGCTATCACTGTGCAAATACCATTTTAGCCAGCAAAATACTGCGAGAGAGAACCAACATCGATCTCTACCGGATTGATTTCAGTGATCCACAAGGTGGTAAAGGTCCATGCGATAGGAAAGCAGCGCAAATCAAGACGCACGTGAAGCAATACATCAACCAAGGTCACTCCGTCACAACACCTGCTGACCTTAAGAAGGCTATAGAGTCCGATGAGGGCATTGCGGGTGTGCGAGTTACGTTTGTTCCTGTTCCCAAGAACACAGTGAAAACAAAGAGTATCAAGTGGGAAGGCATCAGTAGTTTGTCCAACTTCGAGATCACGGCAGCGGGTGTAAAGGCCTTCAAGGCGTACGGTATTGGTGCAGGGAATTTCCGATCCTGGACGTCATTTTCAGGTATGTTCAACCAAGAGGTGGTAAAGGAAAATTACTCGCGTTCGTGTTAAAATGGATCTCAGTCCGCTATATTATACTGGTTTCATAGCACGCACACTTTACCCATTTGCACTCAAAGTAAATGCATGGTAATACTTAACAATAAAGCTATAACCTCATGCCACTGCATCATAAATTATATAAAAACTTGTTTATTTTGGTCTTTTCTCTCAGGAATACCACACGATAACCAGTTTGAATGGATAGCTGAAAGGCCAGGGAAAGGAGAGTTTGTGTCAGTGAAACCTAGACAGCCAAAGCCGGCGACATCCCATACAGATAGCCTACTCAAGGAGGGCTCTACTCCTGAAATAACCCAACAAGCAAATACCCACCTAGCTGATAGTCTCCTGTTTCCATGCCCAGAGGACGGATGCACCAAGTCCTACATGACATACGGACGGCTGGAGCAGCACCTCATGTACGGTAAACACCAATTCCGTCGGACCGAGAGTGTCTCACTTATTCATCGAGCGAAGGTCAGTTACGCAGAGCGTCTTGAGGCTGGAGGGAGCCATCCTGAAGTGACGATACCGGATACAAAAATACACAGTGGTTCCCCTTGTCTGCCAGAGGGATGGGCTTGTCGGGAGTCCGCCGTGCCACGCCATCGGTTTAATTCCAAGCAAGGAGGTACTTGGAGGAAAAGTTTAAACATGGCGAGACCAAGGGGATTAAAGCAAACCCAGATGACGTCTCGAAGGAGATGAGATGTTTGAGAGATCAGAGCGGGAAGCGAATCTTCACGGTAAAGGAGTTCCTACGTCCACAACAAATCACCTCATTCTTCTCTAGGATGGCATGTAAGAGAAGAGATGCCACCGACTCCGATGATGAGGCTGAAGAATTTGCGAGGCAGCAGGCGGCCGTCCACTCGGATGTGATGGAAGTGTTACGGCAGGAAATCACTCATCCCTTGCTTTTCTCTGGCAAAAACCTGTGCTTGATGACAGAGTCAGAGATCGAAAGCCTCAAGATCACTCAGATGCGTTCCATAGTTAGTCACTTTTCCATTAAAGTTAAAGCTCGAAAGAAGAATGTCTATTCTGTTGCTATTATTGAATTTTTGAAAAGGTGCTCCTGTAAGCAGTAATTCTGGTAACTATAATTACTGCAAAAGCCGTGGACAAAGATCCCGCTGGTTGTTAACGTTGGATCTCTAGAAAACAGATCTAATCAGCTAAAATATTACTGAAAACAAAAAAAAAAGAGAAGTCCAAAGACTACTGGAAGACGGATTAACAACGTGTACTGTTTTTATACAACAATATTTCGGCGGGCCATACCAGCCTTCTTCAGTAGGTTTACAGATGTTACTGAATTTATGATGGATATTACAATATTATATAGAGATGGAGGATGTCGCAAAAAAATTGTTTAAAAGGGGGAGGCGGAAATGACGTACAACATAAAAAAGAAAAGAACAACTAATAAGGATATAGGTTACAATAATTCATCACGGCGGTTTAGGCCATTGAGTTCAAGAGTTATGGCCTTATTTATCAAATGTGACTCCCTCGCCTTACGGACTGAGGGTAGGGGGCGTTGGTTCTAGGTTATAACATAGGACCAAAAGGTCCTACTCTGGAACCAAATTTGTTATGCTTTTCTCGTGGATCAAGATTTTTTTGCGGCATTTAATTTAAGTCACCAGTTATTTCTAACCCCCCACTCCAGAACAAAACCTGTATATTATCCGATGACATGTAATTTGAAAAACAAATTGTGGGGTATTTACCTACAAATTAAATGAAAGGGCATTTATAAGCAAAGAGAGAGCTCTTCTGTGAGAAAGTTGCTGAAAAGTTAAAGAAAAGACTCTTTCATCAGTAATGCAACATCATCCTTGCATGGCTCGTTGTGTTTAAAATGACCAAAACCAGTCATAAATCAGATATACCCCCGGAAAATATTAAACTTACCAAGTTCGGTTATTTTATAGTGTCTTTACTGCCGTAGCTGGATACGATAAAACTCGTAACCAGTCCCCCTGTCTGTGTCACCCAAAATGGCGTCTCGTGAAAACTCGAATTTTCGGCATTATTGAGTCGTTCTCCTGTCAACACAATATGACTGCCCGCGGAAATTTTTATAACAAAAACTGCACCAATATAAGTACTTTCAAACAGTATAAACAAAATTTCCGAAGTCCATCTACTTCTAGAGATATTTCCCGGGAACTATAGCATAGTCCCTGGTTGAACAAGTGTAAGGAAAAAGGAGCCATCTTTGAACATACATTTTCTAGGCAAAAACATAACGGGTCCCAATGGAATATATATTTTTTTATATCTCTAGATTCGTGCTAAGATATGGATTAAGTTTCACTGGCTGCATAGTTTTTGGAATTTTTTAACCGATTTTTCAAATGTTGCTTTTTTCCAGTTTTCACAGCCATTAATGTCCGCTCAAAGTGAACACGTCCCAAAATAACATTTTTGAGTTTTGAAGAAAACGTATTATGTCATTCAATCAGGCATGTCAAAAGCATTATTCTGACAAAGTTTCAAAAGTTGTGATTTTTGGCCCGATTTCCAACTTTGCTCGATCCTTACAGGCAGCGCCTCTTAATAGCCTGGACTCGACCTGGATGTGGGGTGATGCCATTACTGCTAAGGAGATGGCCCATCCAGGTAACTTGCTACACTTTGAACTGAAATTTCCTGGGGTTTAACTTGAGATTCACGTCACGGCACTGCAACATTAATTTCTAAAAGTTAATATCGTGATCCCTCTCAGCCTCCTCCATACTATCTCCACTCCCAAAGACCAAAATGTCATCAGCCTTGTTCACAACACCAGTCAATCTTTCCAGTGCTTCATGTTGTCTACGCAGGTATTCCTCGGGCCCTAATCTGACCCCGAACGGCATACGCAACCAACGGTAACGACCAATTGGAGTATGCATGGTCGTTACGAACGAGGAACTGTCATCTAACCCAATGTTTGTGAACCCCTTGTACACATCCACACAGGAATAAATTTTTGGCATTGTTCAATTTAGGCAGTAACTCATCAACTGTATGAATGGGGTACTTTGGGACTTCAATGGCTTTATTGATCGTTTGGCTAGGATCGATACACATACGAATGCTTCCGTCGGGTTTCTCTCTATAGACGCTGTTGGAGATCCATGCAGTCGGCTCAGTAACCTTTTTCAGGATACCCTGTTTTTCAAGGTCACGTATTGCGTCAAATGCTTTTTCTTCCTTTGCTACAGGGCACCGATGTGGATGAGCTTGGATTGGAGTAACATTAGGGTTCATGCTGATGTGCAGGGGCGGCCCCGAAGTTCCTAACCCTGTATGGACATCCTTAAATGCATCCATGACAATGGATTTAGTCCGTTTTCCCCAGGGGACAGGCACATGGGACACACCCAAATCACTAGCCATGCTCTCATTTGGGCGAACTTTTTCTTCATTGGTTACAGCACGATGAACTACACTAATATCCTCACACGTACCATGTACTGGAGAGGTGTGCTGGTGGTTTCCTCAGTCAGATTAATCTCTTCTGTTGCACTACCATTCAGTGAGGTGGGCCTGAATTCCTGATCAGGAGGTCCACTTTCCTCCACTCTTCCGCGAAGAGGTCCCGAGTTAAGCTGGCACACTTCTGAGGCACCCCCTTTTGGGTTGTTACGATCCAAGGAGCAGGTGTTTCCTCTTATCTCAACCAGGCCTAATCTAACACAATCAGATCCACTTAGAAGAGGTGGCTGTGATCCCATGACGTCCTTATTTAACAGCTGAAACTGAAGAGTGTGAAACTTTCCTTTAGTTTCACAGACCAATTCTATTTGCCCCACTGGCTTTACACCTCCTCCATAGGTATTCAGGATGGCAGAGGAGGGTTTGATTAGACCATGGATATCAACCCCTGCTGGACACATGCTCCGCAGGTCCTCCACTGCAAGGGTGTTGGTTGTTGACGCAGTATCTAATTGCAAAGTTTTCCAAGTAAAACATTTTTTTGCTGCGGATAATTTGATCGCTGCGAAAAACTTTTTCCCCATCTGTACAGATACCGATCTCACAGAGTGAGTGTCCAGAGTAAACAAATGATATGTTTCTTGCCCATCATCAGAAACTGAATCATCCAATGCATTCACGTCCTGAGGTTTACCCAAACATTTCCGAGTTATATGCCCTTCTTTGCCACATTTTCTGCACTTATACTTAAGGAGAAATGCACGACACTTTTCGTTTGGGTGACTCGGTGTCGCCCCACAGTAGTAGCACTCAGACTGTTTTCTAGACGACTCTTTGCCATTGCTTTGGCTTTGAGAGCGATTGCTGTTTTGCTTTGACTGGGATGCTTTTTCGGTCCAATTCACCTGCTCTTGATCTTCACGGACTTGCCTCATAAGCCTTCGAGCGTCAGTGGAGGATTCATAATTCTTTGCTATTTCAACCACAGTACGAACTCCACAATGTTACCATTCTTGTCACGATGACCATTGGTATTCAACTTTCCTTGTGAAGTTTCGTCCACCAAGCCAGTAATAAAACGGTCGCGGCATGCTTGATCTTCAAAATTCCCATATTCAAAATATCTAGCTCGCTCCGCCACTCGACATTCCCACGCACTAATGAATTCTCCTTCGCACTGAAACATGCGTCCCATGTTCGTTCGCTCAGCTTGAACACTGACACTGCCTCCAAAGCGCTTAATGAGGGCTTTAATAACTTTCACCGGGTCACTCTTATCTTCTTCAGATAGTCCCAGCGTTTTGTTGTTTGGATTAATCAATATCTTCATCTTCGAAGGCAGAGTTGCTCGAAGTGTTGACATGCAAAGGTTTTGTTTCTTGCATTGTTTTTTTTCCATCCTCGCTTTGATCGTCATATTTACATCCGTCTTTCCGCTCGAACCATCCCATCACCGTGCAATAATCAATATAATCCAATATCAAACATTCTAGAGCTTCTCACTCATCTAGCCCCTCTTGCATTTGGGGGACAGGAAAACCCACTGGAGCGTTGGCCATGATAACAGCAAGCACAAACAATTTATACGGGCACCGGGTTGATAACACCCGAAAATGGCGGGAACAATTCGTACAACTCCCACAGTTCGTTCTCAAACATAAACTGATCGTACTATGGACGAAACCTCCTGACTTTAGGCGCGTGTTCGTTTACTTCTGACACCATGTTAACCGGCTGGGAAAGCTTCAATCAAAGGAACAACAGCTTTCGAGAACACAACACTTTATTGTCAAAGCACATGCAGGCATCTTCGTTTTACACATACAATACGGCCCACGCGGAACACCGCTGACTTCTATGATACAACGACAGAATTGTCTCCTATCAACATTATCATGGTTTTTCATCGTCAACCACATTCGACCGAGGTTGGCAATGTTGCGCCGATGGGTGTGACCATCAGCTCTTCACCTTGGTTTACTGGCAACCATGGTGGGCTTGATGTGGGACGATTTCGCCAGAAAAGCTTATTTCCGCAGGTACCCATACACAGGCTCAATCCTTGTGTCAAATTGAAAGGAATATCTGGCAGATATTCTATCATTTAAATTGGCTGGGTAATTCAAGACTTCAATAAACTTGAATAGACTAAAAACCTTACAGAGAATTAGTGTGGAAACTTGCCTATCAAAAGCACGGCTTCGTAGTTTCAGGTCAGCGGTCTCACCTCCGAATGCCTACTGTAATATAGTATTTTTTGTAAAACTTTGAAAGTATTTTTTGTGCTTCGACCTTCTTTAGTGTGTTCTTTAGTGTGCTTAGTGTGTTCTGTTTTTTCGGAGACCACTTTAGAGTGTTAAGGAAGTAGTGCATTGGTTTCTACTGCCCTTAGCTATAACCAGATTGACCATGGTCAAGCTCATTGACATATCGTTATTGTTAATCATGGTTATCCTTTGGTTGCATAATTGCCACACGACGGGTTTCCGTAGTTGAGAACCATGATTATTCATATTCTTCGATGTAGAATGATGGGCGTTCATATTATTTGTTAAACTAGAAATACGTTGCCGCAAAAATCTCGCGAAGCTGTAAATAGTCCGCAATGAGAATACAGGGAAACAAGCCAAAGGGCAACAATATGTCGAAAAAGAAAACTAAACAGAAAAAAAATGTTTAAAGAAAACGCAATAAATAAATAACCACGCCGAGTTTCGAACCTACACTATGATTGCCTCTAGTGCGTGAAGTCAGCTTCCAGACCACTGGGCCTTGCTACCACTGGACAATTCTTACCGTACGATTAATATACTAACAGCAATTTTCTCTGCCATACACGCTATTTCAAGCTTGTGGAGTTGTATTAAGCGAGTATTTCAAAGCCATTTCCCTTTATTTCTGTTTATTCACGCTCGGGCTTAAAGGCCGCTCGATATATTTATACGAGCTCATCTTCTTCGATGCTCGCGCTGAATTTCAAGTCCCTGTTCTCGCTGTAGTGGAGTTTCGATGGTAAATCTTTCCCAGCGAGGATTCCCAGCCACTTGTTGAATGAAACGTTGTCTTGTGCTTGCCGTTCTCTTTCAGTTGTCTGGAAAATTGATCGCGATTCACCGAGAGTAAACATTGTTTAACAGACGATGAATAAAGACATCAGCCTTTCATGAATAAAACGTGATAGCGCATACATATTTTGAAGTCGTGTTGAAAATGCACCACGACGTCACACTGGATGCAGAAACCCAAGACATATCTAGAAATATTGCCAACTCGAGTTTCTGCGTCGCTGAGCGTCGCTGTACGATCCACGCGATACACGGCGCGACAAATTTATAGGCCGCTCGCTTGGCGAAGAATAATCATATAACCACAAACATTCTGTAATTCAAAATCAGATTGAGGTCGTATAAACTTGTAGACTAACTCAAGGGAAAAAACCCTCATCGACTGGTATACTTCTTTAATGATGAAAGTAATAATAATGTCCGTTTTACCCCAAATTTATTTTTTTAATTTTAATTAATTGAAACCTCAGGAGCCTCTTTTTCAAAGCTAAACGATTTTTAGGGCGTTTACTTTTAAAAGTTTTTATTCTTTCGATGCATGATTCACTGCCACTGAGCATTTGTATTAAAATCAGCAGTTAACGAGTCCTTAAGCTAGGAGATTCACTTACAAATTAGTAGTTGTTGTTGGTATACACTTCCAAATATATGTAGCATTGCCTCCACTGCAGTCATGATCGTTGGTTACTTGACCGGAACCATTCATAAAACCATTGCTCTGACATAAATGACTGCAATCTGCGAGATCAATGCATCTAGTCTCAGGTAAGAGATGACAAGCGAAAAGTGGATGAGGCAACTGCAAGGGTAGATTTCTAAACCAAATGTGTTGATTAACCTACGCTGTAAAAATGAAAACTACCATATTGAAAACGCCTTCACTACATTGAATAAATACACCATTGGTGCGTTCAAAAGCAACAAAGTTGACTCGTTCGATCGGGAGAAACGCTCAATATGAGCCAAAAATAACACAGGTATCACAGGTTGGTACTGAAATATGGTTGGATATATTAACGTGTTAACTTGAGACAAAAAAACTTACCCATAACGTTAACGTCAACCGTTTTGGAGCTATTTCCTGATTCACTTTTTGCCAGAATTGTATAGTTTCCCGTCTGAGTGAATTTAAGTCCTTTCACCACTGGCCCACCCTCCAAAGATGTAGATGAGTTGTTTAACCAAGCTTCAATGGGTGGGGTGCCTTCCAGCATGAACCAGGTATAATGCTCTGGTACACTGCGTACTACGGACAACGGCATCCTTATCTTCGGCTTATCTATAAATACAAATAAGCAATCCTTGTCTTAAATGGCGAGGAAAATTGTGCTTCTCGTTATAAAATGAGCGCGATCGTTTTTTTGGAGACAAAATGACAAGGAACATAGGCAAACCCATTACGTCTTGCCTTCGAGAAATAATCATTACAGAGACCGCGTGAGATACTTCAAGCTGTTTAGCACATGCTTTGGAAAATTCAGTGGAGGCGTGTGTGGCTGTGTGTCAAGCTTCACCCCTCCCGTTGTTTCCTTGGACAATGAAATTTACTCCAATTTGGGCCTCTTAAACAGTGGGTACCGCCGACAAACTGCTGGGGTAACCCTGCGATAGACTAGCAACGCGTCCAGGGGGCGTGAGTTCACAACCCTTACATTCTGTTCACAGATATTCTACAACAAATTAATGAATGAGGCTGAGTATCTTATGAAGAATTATGGAGATCAAGGAGGGATAACACCCTCCGAGATCTCCATAATTCTTCATATGGTACGAAAGCCGAATTCAAAAATTGTTTTATTCTTCATTCAAAATAATTCCTAGTTTAAAAACATAGCTAAAACATGCTTACCTCCATCGATGTTAGGTTCATCTTCGATAGTGCACGTTTAGGATTGTTCAGCTCTGCAAATATTCTCCAAATAGCAGATGTCGCCCTTTGAGTTGTCTTTTTGCTGTTCTTGTCATGTTTTTAGCTATTATTTTGCCTAGTTCTTACTCTTGAAACGAGCGAAATGTCCGCCTTTTTTGTTGTCACAACCAAAACAACTCAACTCCGTCCCCAGGGCTTCTCAGTTAACGGTGCATTAACCTGCAAGGAAGCTGCACTTTTGACGTCATCGATTCATTAATCGCAAAATTCTTTCAAACTTTGTCATCAGTAGCTGGTTTTGGTGAATTATGCGTGTGCTTTTAGCCAATTATAATCCGGGAAATATTTTGAATGAATAATAAACCAAATTAATGAACGTGGTAAACATTTCTATTAGAATCTGTTTTTTCTTTCCCGGAAAATTATGTACAAATAGACACGGCAATCGTAAAAAAGTACCCGAAAGTAGTAAGTAAGGTAAAGGACACAAGAACAGTTCTTAAGTTGAGAAAAAGAAACAACTTTCTTTAAAGCGATAAAACTCAAAACTATTAAGGTTTTTATAGTGCTCTTGCTTTTTGGACCTCGATCCTGTGACTTTTTTTCGCCGCTGGGAAAAGCCTGCTCTATTTCTAAGTTATCAAAACATCGACGGATATCAAACACATGATTCAACACAAATCATAGCGTTTAGTAAGCTTTTGTTGGAAGATTTTGAGTCTACTTTGAATTTTGCTTAATTGTTCTCTCTGGTTTCGACATCCTGCCAAATTGTTTCCAGGGAGTCCTTCATACGAGATTCAGAACTATCGTCATACACATCATACTTCCTTCCTCCTTTCTTTGACGCACTCATGTTTCAAAAGGAAGACACCAAAAGTAACACTTAAACAGGAAAAAACATAATGATTTAAACACAAAAAGGAAGCAAATAACACAAAACTAGGCAGCTTCAAAAGAGGCGGCCATCATTGTTGATGACCGCTGACCCGTTGTCAGCCGTCATCAATTATCGTAGTCTAGGCCTTGATAACCGAAACTATATTTGGATCATTCCTGGATGTTGACATTCGATGTCTCGATTATCTAGGAAAATGGCGAGATTGGAAGTCTCGCTTTAAGTTTTGCATAGTTAAAAAAACAGATCCTTGCATTCACTTTAATTTCTTGTTTCTGAGTTATACCCAGATTTTTCTGGGAAAACAAACCGCGTTAACAAACCTTTTTTAATGCTTGTGTTACAGGAATTATCTCCCCGATGTTAAAAATATATGACAAGTTAGTGGACGTGCGATAAATATCTGATCTAGAGGCTTAATTGTGAGGTTCTGGAACGTTCCAAGTCTTATTTTTGCGAATGAAACTTGGTAAACAACCTATTTACTAATAAACGTCTAATTTGAGAGTGAGACATCTCGTCTCCAACCTGACGTTACTCGGAAAACATTAATGTTTTAAATGGCCAGTTTACGAGACTTAAGCTTTACGGTGCATTTTATGTTGACGTAAGCTTCTC